TGTGTAATCACTACTAATCTCACGGATTCAGTTGTCTCCTCCTTCCAGACCGCACCTCTCTAGTGCCCTTTGGGGACCCTTCTAGGAAGCCAGACTAGGTTTTGCCAAACACTTTTAAAGGTATCCCAGGAGGAAGTCTTAAATTAAAAAGCAATGAGCATCATGCAAAACGGAAGCACTCTGGATTGTAAATTAGTATAGGAACGTCAATAGCCATCGAGCCTTAAAAACAAAGCGCACGAACAAAAATCAAAGCTCGAAGCAGAATGTTCATGAATGCGATGCATCCCATCATGGTGATAACTGCCCTCGATGCCGTTATTGTTCATTGTTGCCCATCGCTTCCTGTGACTTTGGAATCATAGTGACAGCATGTGTGCCCACCCAACTGCTTCACAGGCATCTCAAGGCTGGGAGGCCTTTGGGAAGCAGAGCACCAGGTAGTACATTCTAAGGCTCCTCTGAGTGGGGTTGAAGAGTCCTTTCAGTTAGGAGTGCAGAAAATATCTCAGTGCACCACGCAGGAATTCTGTTCAATTCTGTGATGAAATCTAGCGTATCCTAATACACATAGCAGCTAAAAACATTGGAGGCCTTCTACCTGGGTTTAGCACCTGTGCGACTGAAATCTTCCACTTCTCTGTCAGGAGTCTCCTTATAAAATGCTGCCATTCGTCCTTGTCTCATAGTGTTGCACAAGGAATTGAAGTAGATAATTTACGGATAGCACTCATTAGAAGTAAGGGCAAGAGCAATGCAATGGTCTTTATAGATTATTTAATTCACTACAAAATAATGTAAAAGTTTACCTACTAAATACCTTTAGATTCATCTTCACTGCAACTGATTCAATCTAATCTCATCTAAACTAATATAATCTTGAAAGAACTCCTTATTGATACGCCTCCTAACTAATCTTCTCACATCCTCTATTATAACTACTAATCCATTCTCCAAATTTCAGCTTGAGTGGCCTTTTCAAAAGCAGATCATATTCAGCAATCTTCCTTCTACTTAGGACATTTATGTGATTTCCCATTAATCTTCGGATAAAGATCAAATCACTAAGGTTGCCTATACAACTCGCTAAGGTCTGACGGTTATATTTTAATGTAGATATTATTACATATATATCCATGAATTCTTTGTCCTAGGCTTGTAAGAGGTTCTTTTTCTCTCTCTCCTGCTTTTCATCATTCATATCTCAGTATCCACCTCACTTTCTCAGGAAAATTTATCCACGTTCTCTAGTCTAAATAAGGTGCTTTTTTAAAAGCATAAACTCTCGTAGTATCATATAACTTTATTTACCATCGTGTGTTATGAGCGAAATTTAAATCCATTTTCGTGTAAGATTTTAAACAAGAAATAAATATTGGGGATATGACTCAATTTCACTCTGTTTCAACAAGTTCACAGTATGAGGGAAATGCTTATTAGTATCCTGAAAGAAAAGCAAGAATATTTCTAATAAAGTAGAACTGGGTAAATATTTTCTTGCAATTACATGAGGACAAAGTAATATTTAAATATATGTGTGAATAACAGAAGTTAAAGAAATACTTAGTAAATGGATGCTGCTACATTTTGTATATCATCCAAAATTGCTCATCAGAATATTCTATTTCAGTAATGGAGTAACAGAATAGCTTATATCTGAGTTGAATTCTTCGTAAGTGGATCTCATCTGACGCACAGAGGTATGAACGAACAAAAACTGTACTCGTAGGAGGCAGACATCAACTAATAATGCCTTGCATCCTACCTATGAATACTTCCCTTAGTATCTTTTAGCAAATTTAAATCGGTGTTTATATTGCCAACTATTAATTTGAACTGCTTGAGACCTAGAGAGAGTGGTCTCATAATTCAGCACAGTCTGACTAAAAAGAGCACTTGTGAGACACGTTCAAACTGTCATATATTTACTAGCACATTTCATTCGGGCTGCATCCTGTGCCAGACTCCAAACTTTAAGAGCGAGTATGTTGACCGTTATTGTAGATCAATCAATCCCCAGTAGCTAACATAGAGGAACCTAGTTTACAATATGTGTTCATATTGTAAAGAAAGAAACTAGCATGCCCTTAAAACCATGATGTCAAGAGTTTTAAAGAACGAAAATGAGTATCTTGATAGTCAAAAGCGAAGTGACTGTACGGAGTGTCTGTATCTATAGCTCAATGGAAAGATAATCTGCAGAAGAAAAACGCTGCCAACTGGTTTCTTCCCAACAAAACAACACCCTTTGAGAGATAATAAGTAAAATAAATGCAGGAGAACACAATGAACAATAAAATATGCAATAATTTAATAAAAATAAAATAATAGCGGTAGATGGCACAGTCGATGAACAAAGTTGGTGGTCGACAGAATTAGGTAGAGTTTGGTAAATTAGGGTGAGTGACCCAGCGACAGAGATTGCCAGTTATTTGCTCACCTAGGTTCCTATTTTGTTTTTCTTTAAAAATAGGGCCTTTCTTTTCGCTGGCACACAGCTGTCTTAAATGAAGACCATATTTATTTCCCACCAAGGTTTCAGGCATGGATACACATATGACTAAGTTCTGACTAGTGAAACAAGCAATTTGTGGGACTTTCACTGGGTGCTCCCAGTGGCTAAACTGGGTTTAACTGGTCTATTAAACTAGAATGTTGGCAGTTAGAACCCAATCAATGAGACTATGTGGGAAAGACCTGGAGAAGATGCCAATCCCAAAAACCCTATGAAGCAGCAGGTCTAGCCTGTAACACACGGACTCACCCCAAGTTGGAACTGACTAACTGTTATGTGTTTGTGTTTTTATCCTGAAAAAAAAGATCAAGATCCTTTTCACGTCCATTTGTACACTCCTCCCAAGGTATGCACATGTGGGAGCTACAGCTACAGCAACTGTCCTAAACCTTAACACAATCTTGGAAATAGAAACGGAGATAAAACAGAAATATTTATAATTATTATTAAAAATGCATATACATAAACATAGTGTGTCTTTTTTATCTCACAGAAATTTTGGTCAAGATGAGTGAAATATAGGGTAAAATTTTCAGATAGTTAACATGGTTGGATTAAAAATTACATATAAACTCTACAAATTGAACTTAAAGTAATATGCATTGCTAATTAAGTGTTATTTGCAAGTATAATATTGCAGAACTAATTGAAAATGTAGGCAATCAGCAACTCCCCTTTGTAACTAAGCAGGACTATATTTGCTTAAAATCACTGCTAAATTAGGTTCATACTATTTGAAAGCAAGGTACAATGTAAGGTAACACATTAAAGGAGATTCTTAGAGTCTTATAGTTCAGCATGGTTTTCTAAGAAAGTATTCCTTATCTACACTGTAACACATGTTTCTTGAGCTCTAAAAAATTGAAGTTGGAATGTTTTGAATTAGACCTAGGCTCTTATGGTATAAATTACACTGGCTTCCAAATTTAGCATTATTTGACAGGTACTAACATGAAAATCTTCCCATTTCATAAATGTTCACGGGTTCCATTTTATGAAGTATTTTTTTATTAAAACCATATAAATTTTTATTGTGAAAGCATTTATTTTATAGTGGGTGAGTTAGAAAAACAGGTAAGAAGAAAGGGGCAGTATTATGTCTTTTCTCATTATGAATAATCATAATTTTATTAGACTAAGATTTGGCTCTTCCATATGCATAAGCACTTAATAATACCTGTTTGGGCAATAATAGACACTTTTGGAAGCAGATAAAAATTAAGTAATATACACTGTTTATGCATATGATTTACTTATAAACTTTAGATACAGCAGACTTTTTACATTTTTTTCAAATGAATTTTGAATACAATAATGATAAATTTTACTCAAAGTCTAAATCGTTATTTCCTGAATATTTACAAAAAGATATCATTACTCCCTTTCTATTATAAAATTATCCTACTGATGAAATGAAATTTTAAAAGTGCTTTAAAATCTGATCAGAATCTGAGTAACAAAAAGCTTAATAATATCCAAAATCTCTCCATGAGTTAGGTTATTGGGGATCGCTGTAAGTCCCCTCCAGTTGATTCTGATCCATAGCAATCCCGTGTCCAACAGAGTGAAACACTGCCCAGTCATTGGCAAGCCTCATGAGCCTTGAGATGTTCCAGCCCATTGTTGAAGCCACCAAATGAATCCCACTCTCTGAGAGCCTTCCTCCTTGGCAAGGACCCTTTACCCAGCAGGCATCCTTCTCCGGAGACTGGTCCATCTTCACTACATGGCCAAAGAAAAGGCAGGCATTTGCTTAGTTGTGACATTGTAACTTTCTAAAATTAAGTTCAGGGATACAATTATCATAAAATTCTATTTTAAAATGGAAAACAACCTGACACTAGAAATTCCAAAAACGTTGGATATTAAATTTCTTGGTAATTTAATTTAGGTATAAACAATTGGTACAACCTTTGCACGTTTCAAGAAAGAATTCAGAGAGCTTCCTTTACTTTTGACTTTGTCCAGTCTGGGTGTCCTTTGCTCCCCCCTCAGTGAAACAAACTACATTTCTGATAAAAACTCACTTAAAGTCCTGCCATCTAAACCACATCATTACTAACTTTTGACTTTGAGCCTCTATTTTCCATATGCTTTGCTGAATTATCAATGCATAGGCAATTTTTTAATTGTCTGAGCTGAGTCTCTAATAGATATCAGTGACCACTGCACTGTCTTATACATACACAGATAGTCAATAGCCACTAGTAGAGGAAGACAAGGAATGTCAATTCAAGAACTGATAAACTTTAAAATTCCCCATCTCAATTTTTAAGTAACAAAACCTAAACATCCCATTCCACCACCCCACCCAGCCCAGCTTTCTATACTTCTTAGTAACTCATTCACCAAGCTCTTGTCTTCAGGTCATTGGGAAATGACCATCCCAGGCGACCTAGATTGACTGAAGTTGTGTGCTTCCCTTAAGACAGCAATAAAGTAGAACATTTAGGCATTCATGTAAGAGAAAAATGAAAGTCAAAGCTGAAAGCAAAATGGACATCATTTTAATGATTTTTTTTTAATTTTGTGCATTGGGTTCAAACAGCAAACTGTGTGCACTCAATTGTTTTCACAATGTTGTCAAGAGGGCTGTGTCTTTTACCATTTTACACACAATTGTTCATTACAGTATGTGATCAGCCTCGTGGAAACCAGGGGTGGCATGGTAAGCAGTGGTGGTAGTGCACCTAGCTTTTATATTATCTAACTTGAAAATATTTCTCTTCTATGATTCCTTTTCTCTTGATAAAAATAGTTTTCACCAAACGTTGGTGGTGCACACGCACTACCATTCATGCTTGACATCACACCCCTGACTGGAACACATGTTCTTAGTTTGTTGATAAAAAGTATTACAAAAATTTCCATACAAAAACTATTTTCATAGAAATCTTGCATTTCCACAAATAAACCTGAACATTTTTTTTGGAAAAAAAAAACTGCTCAAGGATTTTGTTCATTTAACATTGTGACTGTATTGATAAATGCAGTCCACTACAAAGTTCTTCGATCATACTTTTCCATAGATGACCAGTCCCCTTTCTCATATCACCAAGATCCGCCCAGCCTCCATCAAGTTCATTTATGGCAGGAATGAGGGGTTGAGTTGACAGATCTGAATGTTAGAGCGAAAGCTTCCAACTTCCACATCTCTATCAACACGCGGCCTCTTTGACAACTTAGGGCAATGATTACAAATCCTCCTCCTCCTGAACCCAGAATCACTGAGCCAACTGCTGCTTTTCATTCTTATTCTTGGGGTCTGGTGGGTGAAATGACATGTGGGGGGGCAGAGAATTGATAGGGATCTAGCAGAGTTGTTTGTTAAAGCTCCCACCTTGGTGAATGTAAGAAAAATAACAAAAACAAACAACATTATTGCCTTGGTGACTGACATTTCTATTTCGATCAGTGACACAGACTAACAAGAACAAAACATAAACAAAAATAAAACTCATGATGGTCTGCTTTATATTCCACTTGCCAGGAAATTCCGATTTGTTTTGTGTGACATTTTTTCTTTGTTTGCTTCACATTCTATGAACACATGTTGTCTATTCAAATGATCACTGTACTCAGTAGTCGGGGGGCTAGTAACATCACCTCTGTTATCTGGGTGTTCAGAAGATTGTACTGTTTCTTGTAACACTACAGTTTTTGCTGATTCCAAGTATTTTTTATTTTTCATAATGATTCTTTTACTGGTTACCCTGTTGGACATTGATATTCCATCTCCTGGCGACAGTTGGACTTCAAAAAGAACCAATAATTTCTCACTGGACTGCATTTGAAACCAGTCACAAAATGCGTGTGTGACATTCACTCAGCAGAAGGGAGGAACCTTTGATAGACAGTGTAACCCCGTGAAACTTGGTTGATCCAGGATACTTGTGAATCAAGTCTGATCATTGTAACTGCTTCGATCACAAAGTCTCTAGTTCATAGACACAGCGGTATGAGGTAACTCATTTTTATTCTGCACAGGTTGCATATTTCCACAGGAAACATTCTCGCTAAATTGTTTGGATAAACGACGACAGTTTGTGCTTGGGTGTTTGGCCTCCCAGCTTTATGCCATGGTTTCTTTACCTGGTAACCTTCTGTCGTTAAATGTGTGCATGTTGATGACTTCTTCGGTTTTTACAATAACAGGGGCCTGTGGCTTGTGTTTTAACCGGCGCTGGCACTTGAGGGACATCCTCAGTTCTTCTACCATGGCACTGCAGAAGGACCTCTGTAAAGAAGAAACACATTTAAGTAATACAAAACAGAAACTAGTACGTCTCAGAAGCAACATTAAAACATATCTCAATACTCTTCTCAACATAGGAGTCTTGAGAGTGGAAAATAAACACTATAAGAGTCAAAACAAACTGTTACACTTTTAGTACACAATACATGATCATTAAAATATGTTACCAAGGTGGGCAGGCTTAAAGACAATCTCTTGCTTATACTACAATGAATGGCTGATAATTAATATACATATTACACATATATTGAATATGATTTTCAGATGACACACTATATCATTGACTAGCATATGGGGATAGGATCTACTATAGAATTAAACACACACAAATACACAAATCTATAATCAGAAATGTCTTAATATATAAAAGTATGAGAAGAAATAGACTTTTAAAATCCCAACTGGGATATACATATTTCCTTTAAACATGAACTTATAATTGAGGGTTGTCAAACAACAAAAATAGTACATGTTCAGTTAGAAATAATATATAATTTCTGATGTAATATTGTACCTTTCTGCCATTATATATAAAAAGCATTTAAGGAAGGTTAGATATAAATGCATTTTAATCATAAAATGGCAAATTTGATGATGTTTAAAACCCCTGAAATTATTTTTTTCCATAATCAGCTAGATTAATTAGCTGATAATTAACTTATCCCATGAGGCTGAAAAAAAATGACCAGAGCAATGTGTTTTTTCTTAATTCCCATATCACTGGAAATAGATTTACTAGACATTCTTTATTTGATGATAATTAATACCCACTCTTCAGGATTCATTTTATAGAGTGATGTATGTTAGTAGTCCCCCAAACTAGTTTGAGATACTTATGTGCTAGCTGCATTTAAATCGGACTCAAAAATGAGTTGTAAATAGTATTGAAGCTAATGCTAAGGCTGAGGCCATTTCTGCATAGAATTAAAAATATGGACAATAACCAAAGATGTTGATGCATATGAAAATAGTACACAATACAAAATGTGACGTTATAACAAAGAAATAAACCAACCCAACACAAGTATGCAGAGACTGACTTTATCTTTGCTTTATTCATTACTAATGTGTTATTGGTCAACTCCTAATTGTCAAAATAGTTCCTAGCGATTACTGAATAACGAAAAATTTAACATCCTATGTGCCATAATTTTAAAATTGTTTTTACAGAGAATCTTGTAAAACTAAAAATAGTGAATTAAAGTCAGCATCGACATGACTGAGAAAGCTGGTTCAGGGAGAAACTGGGTGAAGCGGAGGCTGTTCTACTGCCTTCCGGTCCAGCCCTGGCCAGCTTCTCCTGCTGCTCCTTTCCTGTTCCCTGAGTCCTTTCCTTCGTCTCAGTGTCCCTACTGCTACAACTCGTGTTTCTCACATAGCTAAGACGTACCAGGATAATCTACATTTAATGCCAACGCATTAGTAGTAATAAAGTCTACGAAACAGATCAAATTGAAATGTCTTGCTTTTCTCATCTGGCTCTCCATGTCCTCTTCGGGCCCTGATGAGTTCTTTCATGGTCATGCACTATGCCTCCATCCCTGGCCTTAGAAAGCAACCATCACTACTTTTCCCACTGGGTTTCAATGTTATCTCCTTCCTGGTTCGCACTCAGTATCTGCATTTCTCTAGCTGGCTGCTCGGTCTCCGATGTGGTACCCTCACTGAATTTCAAACAGCAGAGACCAAATTCTCGAGGCTCAGACTGTACACATATGTGTTTTTTAAATGTCACCTGAATAAATGACAGTGACCCATGATACTACATTTAATTATTATTTAATGGTGTTTCAATTGCAAGTGCTGAATGAAGCTTTATTTTGCCCTGTTTTCAGAATAAGAAGCTAAACAAAATGCATTAGATGAAAACAATTAGAGTAGGTGAAATTTTGTTTCAGTTTAATAACATTAGTTTAGTGAAACTACTAATTTATTAGCATCTGTAATTAGGCGGTGAAAATGCTACTTGTTCATTCCCCATTAATTATTACATTGTTGTTATGTGTTCAGGCCAACTCATTCAGTGCATCGAACTGATTCCCATTCACAGTGATCCTGTCAGGGAGAATAGCACTGCCGTTTTAGATTCTGGGCCTATCTATCTCTATGGAAGTAGAAAGCCTCATCTTTCTCCCTGGACGTGGATGGTCATTTCAAACCGCTGACCTTGAGGTTAACATCCCCAAGCATAACCGGCTACATCATCAAGACTCTCTGTAAAGCACAAGGGTCTGCTATTCATGAGTTCTATATCCTTCTGTTTAAAAGAATTACATGGCACATGACAGCCAGTGTATGGACATGCGTGTTGCTTAATACGTACTATTAGATGTATTTATTAACAACAAGATGACAATGATGATGAAGATGATGATGATAACACTGTAGAAATGGAAAAGTCTGTCTCCAAAAGGGGAAGGGATACAGAGTCCTGAGGTAACATAGTCTTGGCTCTCTGTTGAAACATTTAACAGAAGAAATGATTAGATGGTATGACAAGTTCAGACCTTGATTCCAAATGATACATTAGAAATGTTGCAGGATGTGAATGCCCTTGTTTGAAGTAAGGCTAACTTCAAACGAATGACTTGTCTAAATGCTAAATATTTTTAACACTCTTTTTGGAAAAACTTCAGGCATTTTGATTGTTATGTTTTTTTAATTCATAGGAAAAATAATTATTTTTGTCCCTAGTAAGACAGGTGTCCAACCAGATTATGTACTACAGGAAAAAATTAGAAATATACCAACACATTTAACCATGAAATGGTTCAGTTTCATTTACAGACTCTGAAGAAATAAAGTCTGTATTAAATATCCTATACTTACCTCAGACTACAAATAAAAACATATAAACTATTTTAAAGAAATTTAATATAGTTTTACAATTATAATGTAGAGAGTTATAAAATATATGTGAAAGATCTGTTCAAAGAAAAGATCAGAACTGTTAAAACTTTACAAATTATATCTTAAGTAAATTATTATTTAAAATATAGGCAATATCTCAAATGTACACATTTAAAACCCCATGATTACTATTTTAGGCACTATTTTATAAAGCAATCAGAAATATTTTAATTTTTAGGCTTCAGTATTTGTTTTTAAAAGATCATTGTTTAATTAATTTTCTCCAAATAGCCTGCATTTTGCCAGCCTTTTGTTGACCTATACCTATTAGTTTACCTGAAAAATAGTTTTTATTTCTGGTTACCAAAAGATTCATTAACAGAAAATAGTTATTCTCACATACAAAATGTTTTTAATCAGTGAAACAACTATGGAAATCTCTTGATGTGAGAAAGATTTAAGAATAAATATTAAAAGATAAAATAATTTAATATCTATTTACTTGTTGCAGATAACATATTCTTTTGTTATCTGCAGCTTTAAAATATAACTTTAATTTGAAAAGCCTATGAAAATATTTAAGTTGGAATCCACATTTTTTCATATTATAGCTGCTTCCTAAGGATGTATATTGACAAAATTCCTGTCTACCTTTTATATGATATTCAGCACACAATAGGAAAATTATGCCTTTCCTACTTCACATTATCACTGCAATTTTAAAAGTGTTTTTCTTGAACAATGAAATAAGGATTTTAAAGCAGGAGTTCAGCAGGGTACAATAAGAAAAGTCACCAGCACACCAAAACAAACAAAGAATGATAAAAGGAAAAGAGATAGAGATAAGCAAGACAGAGTTTAGAAATTATTACATGCTGGCTTTCAAACCACCCCTCTGAGCGGGGGTGGGGAGGGCATTCACAAGGTGTGTCATGAAATAAGGGTGAAAATAACGACAGAAATGTCTCTGCACACAAAGGTAACAGACTACAGAAAGGAAAGGCGGAAAGGCACGTGGATACTAACCATTATTAACAACCTCTTTTAGTAAGTTTCAAAAGTTTACTAAACAGTGTCGGGATGGGAGGGTGGCACTAACCAAACAGAAGATTCCTGAAAATGAAAATTTACATCTTTGAGCTGTTAGCATGGATCATGGCATTCAAATGACTAAAACGTATTAGAAAACGCACTATATTTAATGAGCTACTCTATGCTGACACATCTTTATTTCCTAAGACAAAGCAGATCTGAACATCATTAAAGCGTGATGCTTACATTACCCTTTTAAGACTAATTTTGAATTTAATACAGTCAGATAATACATATATGGTCCACAGAGAAATAATCTCCTGAATATCTTTACTAGTATAGAATATTCAATTATTAGTATCATAACTATTAAATTTATACACACATTTTGATTGGTAACATGATTTGATAATACTTGGAGCAGCATATACGTTTCTAAGAAATATATTTGAAATTTAGTTTTAACCATGGTTCACATTGGACACAGATACATTTAAACTGTACTTTTAAGATAAACCCTTATATTTAGCAATTTAAAAAAATCAACTAATGAAAATAACCGGTTTCATATTGGACCTATATAGTCCTATGTTGTCTAAAGGAGAGATAATATAAAAGTATATATTTTTGCTGTTTGCACTTAGTATTTATTTTTAAGGACATCTACTTCATGTGTCTTGTGTCTTAATCTTTGACAGTATAAAATTAGAATAATATTCCAAAATTAGTCCAAAATCATTTATGACTATTTTATATACATTTGCTACTCCTTTGTTTCGTATATTTCTCTCCGTAGGAAGGTAAAATGCATAGATCTACGATGACAACAACAGGATTGATAAATACCTGGGGGTCTGGGGGGTGGGAGGGAGGAAAGGAGGAGTCCACAGCATTAGTTACAAGAAGGGAGGAAGAAGTTCCAAAGTTCACTGTGATGAGGAAGGCACAGTCCTTCTTAATATGATCAAACTGCTGAATTGCACAATATGTTCATTTTATCTTAGTACAACTATTTAAAAGCACCTTCATGGTACTCCCATCAGCTGTGTAATTCAAATTTTCTAGCCCATAACTACCGGACTGTATTGTTTTGTTTGCAA